TTCAACACATTAAACTCTCGCTTTGCCCCTAATTTTTTCTATTTGAATAAATATTTTTATAACTTAACCTAACAGCAACCGATACACTTTTTATCAAATGTATATGTATTTATTTTTTGATGAATAAAATATACATTCAAGGTTGAATATAACACACTTTTAAGAACTCGTTCATTTGAAGAACGCAGTTGGTTTTTTGAAATGCATTAAAATAAATTTCGTACAGGCACCCCTCTCTGAATATTTTAAGGATTCTCCAGTAGTGATTAGCATTTCCATAACCAAACTGGAATGAAAAAAGAATGGTTCAGAAATTTAAAACTTTTTATTTGTATATAGAACGTGCATCTAGGGTTCTGATACAAATATACCTACTTATTCTATGAATATGCATGGTTCATTTTGAAAGATAATAGAATAGTCATCTCGAAGTCTCGGGGGTTACTATTATCAATTATGCTCATATCTTCAGGGGCATTAACAATTCACTTTGAATTTCTTATGTTTACTTTTCTTTACTCTCTAATTAATACTGAATATACCTAATTTACATCTTTTACTGATTTGTTTACAAAACCACTTTGATACGTGAATATCGTATTGGTTTATTCGTAAATTTTTGGAAAATTATTAGTTGACATTTCAAAGTTCAGAGACTATTAGATATAACAGGAATGACTTTAATCTCAATAGCGATATTCATGATAAAAACACTCGGCAGAAGCAAATGATACACGTTAGATATGCTAAGTATAAGATAACTCAAAGTGCACCAAAACGTATAGGACCCAAAATTTACAATTGTTTACCAAACAAATTGAAGTCAATATGCAGCCTTTCGTTGTTAAAAAAAAATGAAATAATTTCTGTTAGAAAGATGTTTTTATACTCTTGACGAGTTTTTAAATACAAAAATGTGATTTGCTACTCTTTCTTGTCCATTCTTGTTTTTTTGTCAATATAAGGAAATAAATAATTTGAAATAACCACTTTTGTATGAAGATTGGATTATAAAAAAAAAACCGTTTTCTATTCAGTTTGTACTCCTTATTTTACAATGGTGTGAAAATGTATAACATCTGCCGAGCTACTCTAAAGAGACAAATATTAACCCAATCAATACAGGAAAATAATCAATGAATTTTTGAGTAGTGAACCCTATTAGGTTGACTAAGTTCCATACCGTGCGTGTTTTATGTGTGTGTTTTTTGTACTAGTTTTGTGTACACTATATTTTGTTTATATTTTCATATTCATAGGACATTTATGCATTTTATTTTATACTTACTTACTAGCTTTGTCAACAAGATTTTTTCTTCGGACAATAAAGTCTTATCTATAGAAAAAAATTCTAAAACTTCAATTCAATTCAATTTATTGTCCCAGTAGGGACTATAATTAACTACGAAGTATAATGAAATAACAGAAATAAGATATATCACAATAAACATATAAAATATTTGAAATGCAGTCAAATATGAAATTTAAAAATCTGTTTTTCCGTTACCCAGATGTCGCCCCCCTACGACAACTCTGAAAAGTCAAAACTTGTGCAAGCTAAGGACTAACGAGGTCTTACATTTTATCGTGTGTTTCCTAGCACGGGTTGGACGATAGGAAGTATAAATCGAACGTCCAGCCTCTCGGCTTGAACCACCGGTTCACACAGCAGTTGATTGAGTGAGTGGAGCATAGCACCCACGTCAACCCGACCGGCTACCGTCCACCTTTCAGAAAGTACCTACATGTTGAAAAAAAATTGAAGTAATAGGAACAAAATGCAAACTATGAAATTCAACTAATTATATATTTTTTCAATTGATGTTTGAACTTTGTAATGGAATAGTGCTTCATTATTTTATCTGGAATTGAAACACCGCAAGTGCCTTGTAATGTAGGACAGTTTATTGAATGGAGATTGACGGGCATTTTCAGCATATTCATTTATTTTTTGTGTTTTTAGATTTAAGTGAAAAGTTCTATTTCTGGGATTTACACTTTGCGGTACCTTTTGGAAGGCCCACCCTGTATAATTTTTATCATTTGGATCATTCTTTTTTGATAAGAAAATTGTTTCAGGTTGGTAAAACTAATTTGTAATGTAATGTAATGAGTAGTTACATACTAGATCGAAGATATCCCTCAATCCCTCAAAAAATGTAAAGACAATCATAATGATAACCTCGGTAATAGGTAGCTTTGTTGAAATATTAATTGCAGTAAATATAAAGAAAAGCCGCACTGCTTTTGAGATATATGTAAAAATAAAAGTTCTGCAGTAATTTATTCAAAAATATTTCGTTTGTAGGTATAATTTTACGTATTATCAATCATTGTTACAACAGAAAATTACATATTTGGCGTCACTATCATGGCTCATTGTTTAATCACTGTCGTCATTGAAATAAAAAATGAATGTATTTCCACCATTAATACGGAAGTTTCTAATCTCCATATAGTCTTTTTCAACTATAATTACTTTTTTAATCCTTTTCTGACAGTCTTCTTCAATAATATTAGGTAATTCTTCTTCAGTTAGCTTATCAAATTTTGGAAAATTATTTTTACGCCTCATGCTTTATTTCAATTTTTCCCAAATGAACTCGATGGGATTGAAAACACAAAAATAGGGGGAAGTCTCAGTATAGTGTGTCCATACTTTTCAGCAATACTCTCAGGGGCATACACTTTTTCAAATGTTTTTGTCTGTGAAATTTCAAGTATTTGGTTTTTTGGTATATTAATCTTCAAAATACAAATTGTTATCTCCATTAAAAAAAATTTATTTCATTTTTCAATTTTTACACGCTTTATATTAGCTTCACCTGTATGTATGTATGTATGTATGTATGTATGATTATATGCATGTTTGGTTATAACTCTCAAGCTCGGGATTTTTATTGACAGAATTATCGGCATTAGTGCTTGATCTATTCGCGAACCTACTTGATATTTCTTGATCTATTTGCGGGCAGATGGCGCTGTACGGAACCTCCTTGATAGGTTGTTCAAAAGAAAATCAAAATAATAAATATAGTTTAAAAAAATTAAAAAACACGCTTTTAAAGAACATCGAACTAAAAAGTTAAAAATAAATATAGTTCAAAAAACTAAAAACAACGCTTTTGAAGAACATCAAACTAAAAAGTTAAAAATAAATATAGTTTAAAAAAACTAAAAAACACGCTTTTAAAGAACATCGAACTAAAAAGTTAAAAATATTTTTTTTAAATAAGCTTAAAACAATAACGATCGAAAAATACTTGTGACAAAAGCGTGGCTGCTTTGTGCCATATTTTCCGTATATCTAGCGCCCAGGCTTTTTTTACAATAATACTAGTATCGATGTTCTTTAAAAGCGTGTTTTTTCAAACTATATATTTTATTCGGTACTTTGATGAGCTGTCGCGAATGATAGGAAGCGTTGTCAAGAACGATTACACCATTCGCATTCAAATTTGGGATCAATATGTTTTCGAACAATTCCTCGAAAATATTAGCTTCCATGTTCTTATGATAGTCAACATTGCAGTCCTTAAGTTTTTTCCACATAATTTCAAAGAATTCGAAACCGATCCTTTACTTCCTCCGTAATGCACAATGATTAGTCGCGATACTTTGTTTGCAGGCATATTAGGCGTACACATTCTCGAACCATCAGTTCACCCTTTCGTAACTGTGTCGTGAGTATCATATCACGTTTCGTCCAAATAGAAAATTTACCGTTGTTCTTGTCTATATTTAGTATTTGTTACGCAATTCCACTATTCTTATGCTTTCCATAGCTGATTGATATTTGTTTATTATTTTAAATCTAAATCCTAGTTTCTTTATCTAATTCTAAAGAGTTTTGTCACAGCAGCTCACGCTATGGTCGGAAATATTCAATTTCTTCTTTATGATTTCAGTTGTAGGAATACCATTGCTTTTGTAACAGTCGTATATTATTTTTTCAATGAGTTTATTAGATGAACATCTAAAGGTTTTGGTAATTCTGTATCACATCGCGCCTTGCGTTCATAAGGTTCCCGCATTCCCCGATTTCTATTTGTCACCGTAACATGACTTCAAATTTAATTTAATGACTCTTCAGCCAACCATAAAATTCGGTTAATAAAAATAATCCAATACGAACCGCCAATTGTACAGCCCACGTGAACTACTTCGCAGCCGGTTCATTTCTATGTATTGGTTTTTTTGACCTTTGAGAGTGCCGCCAGCTTTTAATGTGCACAATATAGTTTACTTTGACTATACTTCAAATTGTTTGGTTTCAATGGTTGCTACCACCTATAAAGGCCATTTCTTTAGAATAAAAAAGAACCCAGAAGAAATAAGCTCAGAAAAGGAGTTGAGATCACTTGAAAGTTTAACCTGAAGAGTATGAAGGTGCAGAATTGAAAGAAGAAAGAAACATTGATTTATTCATAACATTTTTACCTATCAAAAATAAATATCAAAAAGCTAAGAGAAATCTGAGCACTAAGTTTTCTGATAGTTTGTCGATGTATTTTCTCAAATATTTTCACTGCGATTTTTGGATCGAACTCACGATTACAGTAGCAAATGTATAATTATAAGTTCAAACCCTGAAAATTTTGATTTTGTATAATTGAACTTCTATAATTATAGTGATAAATTGTATGAGAACATTTGTGTAATTGAACATTGCTCTTCAGTGAAAGAGTCCTATTTTTTCATAACTTCCTCATTATCTTATAGAGATTCCAATACGAATTAAGAATAATTGAATGGATAATTTTAACGACCATGCGCGACTATTGTCACATCCATGGCTAAGTCAACACAACTATGGAAAGTATACTATAAAAATTGGTTTCCAGTGTTATATTAAAATGTTGGCTCAACGACATGAAAAATAGGACTAAAACCGAAATCATAATCACAATTCAATTATTTTTTCTTACGACACTGAAAGAAAATAAGAATAACCGATTTGCATTCGATGTATTAGTCAAATTCTGGTATATTTGTTCAAGGAAACGAAAAAATGCACGGTGTCAAACGAGTGATGCTCTTTTGTTTGATGACAGCCATTCTCCCAGCCATTCTGATATTCACTCCCTTGTACCTGCGCCACTACATCTTCGCGGATGTCACCATCTCCGTGGCCGAATCCGATGTTATAGCCATTCGAGAGGGATACTCTTCCATTTTCTGCGACTCCCTGAAACTGACCATGAATTCATCATTCAATGCGTTTCAACTGATGGGAACCCCCAAAATCAGCTCGAAGAGGAGGCACATTCGCCTCAAGAAGTCGATGACTCTACCGGATGATACGTTGGAGTACTGGGGATTTTATTTGCTAAAAGGGGCTACGGTTAGGTTAAAGGTAAGACTAGAAGGGACGACTTAATCTTCAAACCTTATTTGGAATGTGAGAGTGCATTCCTATCCTTAGTTATATTTCCTTCAAGAAAATAATCATTCCAAATACTCCGTTAGTATTCGTCATATAATTAATTGATAGATAGAATGCTTTGTGAGCATTTCAAAACATATTTCTGTTGACATCATTGATTTAGGCAAGTTAAATTTTAACAATTTACTTGTAGGAATGCTCTGCACAACTTGAAAGTAAATACTATCAAACTATTTAAAGAATACACTGTATGTACATACATATAAAACATAAAATAAACAATCATTATTTCATTTTCACTTTCAATTATTTAGTGCTAAGCTTTTCCATTTTATACCTATACTGTTACATACTTTTATGAGAAGGTATTTTGCTTTTTATCAGTTTGGTTGTAACAAATCCCTGCCTCTGGTTTCTCAAACGAGAATTTAGAAACCAATATGGTTATTCAGTATAGCTTCCATCATACGATATATCCAAGCGTTATATTATTCAGTTTCAATGAATATAGGGCACGTATATTCTCTCAAATTTACCCATTTCACAACTTTTCATTTCACAACTATAGCTATACCTATGTATAGCAAAGCCCTAGACTTTAGTATGCTGTAATGCTTCTTTGGATACCTCTACTTGTCTCCTCAATCAACCCAAGAATATCTATGTAGGTACTTTTGTCTAGTTTCCTACAGACTTTATTAGAGGTTGCTTCCAGTTCAGCTTCCTGTCAATATTGCACCTTGAAAATTCTACCTATGAAGTTTATATATTGTATTTTAGATATATTCAAATGAATTTTCGATATTTTTCCTTTTAATTATGAATGTTGTTTCATCTATACAGGGGGTTTATTGAACATGCGGCAAAAAATTAAAGGACTATTCCTTGGACTATTCTAAGGATATTTTGTTCTTTGATGATGAAGATACGGGGCGAAAAAGAATTTCGACAATAACAATTTTGGCAATTTTAAAATTATTAACGTAGCCGAAATAAAAGTATAGCGTACTACACTGGATCTACCAAGTAATAAAAAATCTAACAATTCCATTGGTGCCTATCAACAACATTCCGATTACTACAAACGGCTGCAGACATTCAATTTGAATAGTATGTTTCGTAACTGATCATTTGTATGTGTCGAATAGGTTGAAACTGATGGACTTTGTCTATTTGAAGTCTTGTTACTGGAGTCCTCTATCATGAATGGCTATAGTAACGCTATGGACTTGCTGAGGGCAGTTCATTGGAAGCTAGGCAGTTGTACAGTGAACGATTTCCAAATCGTAATGTGCCTAAAAGAAAAACCTTCCAAAGCATACATCAACGACTTCGTGTAACAGGTGCATTGAAGCGAAATGGAGGACCAGAAACGCCTATAACAGTAAGAACGGTAGAAGTAGAAGAGAATGTGCTGGCCATGATAGAAGAAGATCGAGGTACCTCTACTCGAAAAATTGCAAATACTCTAAATATAAGTAACAGCACGATTTGAAACTATTTGTTACATCCATAACACACACAACGAGTTCAGGCACTTCTTCATGCACATTTTCTTCCACGTATTGTATTTCGGCAATGGCTTTTGCTCGTATTGGTTCAAATCCCTCAACTATTGATGCATATTCTTTTTACTGATAAAGCCAGTTTCTCAAGAAATGCCATAAGGAATTTCCACAATAACCATGTTTGGGCTGAAAAAAAATCCACTTTAGGTGCTTGAAGATCGCTTTCAACATCAGTTCTTGTTAAACGTTTGGGTGGGAATTGTAGGTGACTTCCTAATTGGACCGGTCTTTCTGCTAGGAAGACTTACCGGCGAGTTATACCGCAATTTTTTGGAACAAACGCTACCTCAGCTTCTGGAGGATGTACTACTGGTTACAAGAAATACAATGTGATTTATGCACGATGGTGCCCCAGTGCATTTTAGTATATTGTCTCGAGAGTTTTTAACAGTAGCATACGTAGATCGCTGGATTGGTCGAGGCGATTAGTCAACGTAAACGGCCATATTCAACAACTTATGACCTGCTAAAGTCATTAGTTTATCGTTTGTTTGAAGGTGATTGACAATGTTTCATGGTGTATTTCATCAGTTCGGACTTCCATTGTCTAATACAGGCTGATTCACGGTGGATGGCACATTAGACGTTTCTGCTGAACCAGACAACGGATCACTTTGAAAATTTAATGGAGGGCATATTCGGACATTCTCTAGCCAACTAAAATATTTTCGACAATGAAGAGTGTTCTATTTGAAAAATCAAAGTTGCTACTGCTTTCTAATAGAAGCGGCAACACCGCATTGTCGAAAATATTTATTTGGCTAGAGAATGTCCGAATATGCCCTCCATTAAATTTTCAAAGTGATCCGTTGTCTGGTTCACCAGAAACGTCTAATGTGCCATCCACCGTGAATCAGCCTGTATAGCTACAAAAACACATGATATTAAAAAGGACAGAATTTTTGAAACAACTTAATAATATTTTATTCTGTTTACTTATTTACCCTTACGCCATATTTCTCAAGTTCAAGTTCAAAGTCACACCTTATTGCATTTACAGAAAACCTAGCATTTCTATTTTCTCTTATTTCATGTTCGTCGTCTTGATTTCATTCAGGCTGGATCCTAGCTCCCCTACCCTTTAGACTTTGTCAGAGAAACAAATGGGTCATAACTAATTAGTGATGGCGGCATGAATGTCCTCAGACATCAGTACCACCCTTCGCGGTGTATCCCTACCTGGCTGGGGTGAGATGGATGAAGATATTATTCATCTTCTATATCGGGAGGGGTCGTCTACAGCGTAATCTATAGCTTCCCTGACTAACGGATTATCGTGAGTTTCCGCGCAATCGAAAACTCGCCGATTCCTCGACTAAATGGACTGCTGCACGAAAGGCAGCTGCAAATCTCTGCGGATTGCTTCATTCCGCACGAACCACGGAGCATTCACAATCGTCCGTAGTAATTTGTTTTGTAAAGTCTCCAAGATGGAGATGTTGGACGGAGCCGCTTGTCTCCAGACGCATGAAGCGTATATGATGACAGGCTTGAACATCGTGCTGTAGATCGTAATTTTGTTTTTTAGGCTCAGCTTTGATCGTCTATTGATCAGTGAGTACAGGCTTGCCACCCGACCCTCGATCTTTGCCTTCACGCTTATAAAGTGCGGGTTCCAGGTGAGCCTACGATCTATTAGAAGACCGAGGTACTTTACCCGCGTTTACCAGTCGCTCTCCCTTCCAGAGATTCTCACTTTTCTGGCCGGAGAAGATAGCAGTCTTCCCATGGTTATCGCCTGAGTCTTTTCCGGGTTCACTCGGATCTTCCATTCGAGGTACCAGCGCTCGAGGTCGTCCAATGCACGTTGCATCTAGGCCGAACTCCCGACTCATGAAAGATGAGAGGAGAGCCGTGTCGTCGTTGTAGAGCGATCTGTTATTTCATGAACAATATGTATTATTGCTTGAGTAGTAACCATATAATCATATTGCTTACCAATTAGACATTTTGAATTTTTTAAGAAACAATCATATTTTTCAGTACTGATTGCAGAAATTTTCTGGTGTAATTGAGATAAATTTATGTATATTACAATATCCCTTATTGAAAATGTAAACGGTACTTTAGGGATTATTATGATACAAATTCTGATTCATAGATAGGTTGAAAAAATCGAATAAACCATAGTCGTCGAATTCATTAGCAATTCTCTCTGATAATACTTTTTGTTTATTGATGAATTCATTCATTATTTTCCATGATTATTATTTTCTATGATGTTCCACACGAGTTTGTACTAATAATTAAATAGTTTACGATCATTATAATGTATTTCGTCTCTATTATTTTTTCCTCTTACAACGTTTTATAGTTTTTATGTTCTGATTAACTGACAAATAAAAATATTATTTTTTCATAGGTTTGTTCTCGGCATGAAGGTGCTCGAATATTAGTAGTTCGTGGTGGAAAAAATCTCAATACTTGTGGACTGATGGATCACAATTATCAGGCCTTTGGCGCCAAAATGGATGCAGAATACAAAGAAGTTAAAGTATTCGACGAAGAACCTGCTGATTACCTTGGTGAGATATTTTTAGAATTTTATCAAATACATTGATTTTGTATACAGGTTTTTTCGTAACTACGGTACCAAACTTCACAGGGTGATTCGTTAGGTCGTTTTAATAAAAAAAGTTTTTATGAAAATATGTCCGGAGTTGCTTCGTTTCTGAGATACAGGGCATTGAAGTTTAAAAATATCATAAATATCCTTACACTGATTTGGTTGAAATTTGCTACAGTTATTTGAAGTACTAAGGCGCTTATTTAGCCTAACTAGGTTGAAATGATTAGGTTCAGTGAGCACCGCAGTCAACAATATTGGTAAAAAAGGTACGCCACTGACTTGTTGTAGTTTTTTGTTTTTTTTAGATTAATCAACTGAAAATACAACTTTTTCGTCGCTTGTGTTTTTTCATATCTAGCTTGGTTTTCGAAAAAAAACTGAAACCACTTTGAATATCATGAACACCTGCTTTGTCATATCAGTGAAAGTCAGAGTTGTCAATCGTGATTCCATCATGAATAATTTCACTAACGCTGAAATGGCTGACATGCACTTTATTAATGAATTAGCAAATGGAAATGTGGAAAAAGCACGGAGAATTTACCACGACATTTAGAACGCTACATGCAAGATTATGTGAAACTGGAGTTTTAATTAAAATGCAGATGGTGGAAGACCAGAAACTGTAACAACGCCTGAATTAGAAGAAGCTATACTTGATATTTGAAGAACATCCTTCAAGTAGTACCAGGAAGATTGCACTGCAGCTGGAAGTCAGCCCAAAAACCGTATGGACAATTCTAAAAAGAAACCTCCTACACCCATATCACATACAGCGGGTCCAAGCTCTACTGCATCGGGATTTTCACCAAAGGTTAATGTTTTGCAGGTGGTTGATTCATACGTTAGCACACAATAATAATTTTTTACCAAATATTTTATTCAAGGACGAAGCATACTTTTTACGATATTTTTATTATGAACTTTCACAATAACCATTTTAGAGCTGACGAAAGTCTCCACGTTATTAGAGAAAGTAATTTTTCTACCAGCAAGATGAACAGGTGAATCCTGCACAAACTTTTTCTGGGATCATTCAGCCATTTTGTTAGAAGAGGCAGCATGTGGTTTATGCACGACGGGGCTCCAGCTCCTCATTTTAGTGTTCTTGCTCATTAGCATCTCGACATCACCTACCTTAATCGCTGGATTGGCCATCTCGCAATCCTGACATAAATCCTTTATTATTAGTCAGTGGTCTATGCTTGAAGACTGGCAGTAAACAAATCTAAAGGAATGAACTTTAAACGTTCAAGCCAGTGTCGAATATACCTACACTAGGTTAAATAGACTGACGCCTATCAGAAAACAACTAATTCCCTGGCTAATACCACGAAAGGCGTTGGATTATATCCGACAGGCGTCAATGCAGCAATCTTCACAGAAAATTTCCTGCATATGCAATTGGCAATACAACTGAGTCGACCTTCAATTTTGGAACAGGCACACTCTTGCAGACCGCTTTCGGGTTCATTAGCCACTCATCAGTGCAAGATAGTGGCCATCATCGACCTAAAGTCAATGATATTCCATAATTGAAAATCGGAATTATTTCAGAGTATTTCATTCCTCTTCCAAGTTGGAGCGAAACAACAAAATGTCACTCCATCTAGTGGACGAGGTGGTACTAACCAACTGCATATCCGTAATTTGCCCGATTCCTCGCTCCAACTTAGGAAGAGGAATGAAATACTCTGAAAGAACTCCGATTTTCAATTATGGAATATCATTGACTTTAGGTCGATGATGGTCACTATCTTGCACTGATGAGTGGCTAATGAGCCCGAATCCGGTCTGCAAGTGTGCCCGTTCCAAAATTGAAGGTCGACTCTTTCAGTTGTATTGCCAGTTGTATATCAGTTGTATTGGAAATTTTCTGTGAAGATTCCTGCACTGACGCCTGTCGGATATAATCCAACGCCCTTCGTGGTATTAGCGAGGGGAGTAGTTGTTTTCTGATAGGCGTCCGTCCATTTAACCTACTGTCTAGGTATATTCGAGACTGGCTTGAACGTTTAAAGTTCATTTCTTTATATAAATCCGTTAGATTTCTATTTATGGGGTCATCTGAAGGCTATGGTTTATAAAACTCCTGTACTAGATGTAAATGAACGTGTCAGATAATCGATGACGTCTTCGTGAGGGAAGACGTTATCGACGGAAACGTCATCGCCCTCACTCAAAATTTCGACTTTAATTTCGAAATTTCAAGTTTTAAAGTCGTAATTTTCATGAAACAAATAATAATAAAAATATGTGGCTCTCTTGCGCTTCCGTATAATACTTAAAACACGACGCTAATTACCATAGAAAGTCGTTGCCGTTGCTTATTTCAGATTTTAGACTTAGTATTTTATATTCAGAATTAGTTGAATAGGGCAAATTTTAAATCAATTTAAGCAAATAACTTGCAGATGACTCTTTTGATAAACGTTTCTAGCGTTTGTTCTGACCTTCAAATATTGAACAAAAGAAATCCTTGTGTATAGAGAGTTGAGACAATTTACTTAAAAGTGAAGACCATTTTTCTCCTTTCAGAAAGATGTCGAATAATTTGGCAAATCATAATGTGGGTAAAAAAGTATATAAAACAGCATTGCACTTTTAGTTAGTTCATTCTGTAAAGTTATTTTATAAATAAAACATACCTGACTTTTTTTTAATATTTACATTATATTTATTGTAGCTGACATAGATATGAACCTAGAAATTGATGATGCTAGAGAGGATGTGGCCGACGACACAGTTGCGGATAATTTGATTTTCAAAGGTTTAGTAAGAACAGATACTGATTCTCAAAAACTGGACGGAACAGATGCACAAGTAAGTCGCACTACAAAACCTAGACACCATCGAAGACATACAAAAAGATGGAAGAGGGCAGTAGACGAACTCAAACGGTCTTTAGAAGGTATTAAGATTTTTCATTTTCCATATATCTTACATAAATTGGGATACTGATTTTTTCAAATGTCAAATCCTAGTTGACGACACTATAATGGGAAAAACTTTTCTGGATAATAATAACATGGAGTTATGAACACTGATTTCGAAACAGTTGGCTAAAAATACATAGTACATTTGATATTTTCATTTTTCTCAAAAAATATTTATTTATTCATCAATTTCTATATTGTTCTCTTCAAAGTAGTTTCCCTCAGATATAATAATCCACTTTTGCTAGCATTTTTCCAATCCTCGAATCAATTCTGATATACACTTTTTGGTATGTCCTTGAGCCCTCTCAGTGATTCGGTTTTTATCTCCTCAATCATCGCAAAACGCCGTACTTTAACTTCATGATAATTGTTTTGGCGTGCTTTTTTATCTTGGCTCTTCTGGACTCTTCCATTGGTACGAGTGGACTTTGATTTCGATGTCATAACCATACACATAATCTAAATATCCGATATAAAGGAACCCTTTCACCGCCAATATTCGGATTCGAAATATTCAGGCGTAGTTATACTTATCAAATATGTTCAATATACAATCAGGTCCCTACCATGTTCAAATCTTACAGTTTGCAAAGATTCAAGAAGGCCTGATATCGTACGATGGAAATTATATTAGAAATAGCTTTAATTATTTAACTTTCTTTTTTTTTCTTTTATTCTGTTATATTGTTAAGTTCAACACACCTAGCGATGTACTTAAGGTTAAGTGGAAGAACAGTTTATGAGCTGATTTTATATCATATTATAAACTGAACTTCGCCTTTTGCTTTGGGCCAAATTCATATCGTATATGTATTTTTTTTTTGTTCTATGTATGTAAGCAATAAAGTCGTTTATTGTTATTATTATTATTATATACCAATGATTCGTCACCCTTTCGAGCAAACCGGGATCGCCCTTGATGTCAGTCAACAATTCCTGAGCGATGCTCATATACGACGGTTTGTTTTTGTTAAAATTCAGCAATTTTGGAGGGAATTTCGCACACGCTCCATGCCCAAAATTACCGAAAAAATTGCATGGTATTAGCTAACCGATATGCCGACATCCTCTGCAACTTCTCTTATAGTAATTTGAAGATTCTCCATAAAAATTTTCTTCACTTTCTTCATATTTTTATCAATTGTTGATGTGCTGGAGGAGCATCGTCTTTCACATCTTCTCGACCTTCTGTGAAAAGCTTGTGCCCCTTGTGAATATTTTTCTGACTCAGAGTACAATCACCGTATACCACTGTTAACATGTCACGTGTTTTTATGCACTTTATTCTATTTTTTAAACGACATTCGATCTATTTTTTCGATAGCAAAAAATCGCTGAACACGCAAAACGCTTCAAACTTTTATGCCTTTCACCATCAAAATAAACACGATAAACAGCTGAAACTGTGAACATATGTTTGAGACGAGTGTACCAACATAAAAATCGCTAATCAATATACGTAGCCCGCGAAATTTGAACATTTACCTTATTTTTCGAACAGACCTCGTGAACAATATATGAATGTTTATCACCTCAAAGGTCCGACTTATTACAACTCTCTTTTCATAGAAAAAAAAAATACACCTTTCCACTCACAAATAATTTTGGTGAAATTGGAGGCACTCGTAAATCGTTATATCATATCCATGCCGCTTGCTTGCGCGGTTATAAGGCACTTTGAAATTACCATTATGATTGGATGGTGGAAAGGTTATATAGTGTCTGCTCTCATATCTAAACATTCCAGAGGAAAGTCGTTGGGTAATATTTGATTTCCCTGTAGTATATCTTCAAATGTATCACTAAAATTCAGAAAACTTATACAGGGAGTTATGTAAATACGTGGCCAGAGTCAAAGGGGTGATTCTTTGAGTAATTCTAAGACGAAAAGTTTATATAAACGTAGGTCCGGTAATGCTTCATTCTCAAGATACAGGGTGTTAACATTTGTAATAGAAATATTTTGTTTCCAAATATCTTGATAATCCTTCAGCCGATTTTGTTGAACTTTGGCAGTAGTATTTGGTGTAGGTAGGTAGGTAGGTCTGAAGTGAGTGGGTCTATTCGACCCTCCACCGCCACCCATAAGGGTTTATTGTGGCTCACACCTATTCACACTCGGCCAAATAAACCCAGCTTCTTAACGAAGCCGATTAGTTTGTATGGTGAGTGGTCTTCCATGTCAGATGGAACTGACTGAATCATCACAGACATCGTAGTTCATCCCTACTGTAGTCTAACAACTGTTTGGAATCAAGCTTCGAAGGGTGAATAAACGCCTTGGAGTGAGCCAATCCTGGAAGATTCTGCCAGAAGTCCATAACTCTTCTTGCCATTCAGGTGTTGAGTGTTTGTTTGGCAAAGCCCAAAGCGATGTCAATGACAGGTTCTGGTCCAATGAAGCCGTTTGCAGCACCCTCCTTTGCAAAAGAGTCAGCAACTTAATTGCCTTCCAGGCCAGTATGCCCAGGAATCCAGATCAGAGACAATCTGTTTAGTCTTCCTATCGAGGAGAGTCTTTTTTGGCAGTTTGCTACCAATTTAGACGTTGCCCGGTGGGGGCCAAGAGAATATTTTTATTGACTTGTGAGTGAGGTTGGATTTATCCAATCTGTCCGCACACAATTCAATAGCGTAAATTTCCGCTTGAAATACAGTCGCATAAGTTCCTAGGCAGGTAGATAATTCTGTCCTGGGTCTGCGACTGAAAACACCTGCACCAGAACCGGAAGGTGTTTTTGATCCATCTGTGAACCAACAACTATCTGCTCTCAATATTTCCTTACAACGCGCTTTGGAGGATATTACAAGCTACCCTTCCCGACGTAGACCTTGCCAGGATGACAAGGTCATCTGCATAAGCTTGCAGATCAACTTTTCTTCTGTCGAGGGCATCAAACAGACTATCCACCAGGAGCGACCACAGAAGGGAAGATAGTACCTCACCTTGAGGGCAGCCCTTGGTGGCCTTGAACCTGATAGCCTCGCCTTGAAGAGTCGTAGTTGCAGTTTTGTTTACTAGCATGGCATAGATCCAGCCAGTTATGGTAGATTATATACCCTTTCTAGCCAGAGACAATCCTACAGATTTAGGTAGTGCATTGTTAAATGCTTCTTCAATATCAAGAAATACAGCAACCGTATTTGGTGTAGTGAGGAACTAATTCAGCCCTAACTAGATTGAAATCATCATTTACAGTAACATCCTGGAAGGCATCCTAACCAATATTTTTGATCAAAGAATGTGCGTCACCAATTTTCTGCAATTTTTTTTTCGCATTAAGCAACTGACACTACAACTATTTCATTGTCAGCATTTTTATCGAATCTTGCTTTGTTTTTAAGAAAAGAAAAATGAATCAGTTTGTTTGAATATTCCTGGAACATCAAAATGAAAAATTTGAACTATCAAAACGTCAAAAATAGGGGTATACTCGATTTTTTTTCATGTCAACAGTTCATTCTTGTCTTATAAATTCTTATCAGAAGCAACGCAAGCAATAAAAAAATATGAATTATTAAAAACGTTGTTATTCTTCTCCATGGCCATGCAATGAAGTACTTTCTACATTTTTCCCAAAAACAAAGCAAAATTCAATAAAAATGCTATATATAAAGAAGTTGTGGTTTCAGTTGCTCAATGCGAAAATAAAAAATACGAAAATTTCAAAAAATTAGAGGCGCACATTTTTTTGGTAAAAATTATTGGTTACAATGTAGTTGGGGCTAAATCAGCCCCTCACTACCCCGATTAGCACCGTCAAACTTCAGCAAAATTGGCTAATAGATTATTAGGATATTTATAAAAAAACTACTTATTTCACAAAATTTGACACCTTGTATCTTCGAAATGAAGCATTGCCGGATCTATGTTTATATGAACAATTCGTTTTAGAATTACCCCTTCACCCCTTCGAGTTTGGCCATGTACTTACATTACACCCTGTATATATTTTTGTTTGCACTTCTTTTATGGAGAAATTCAAACGTTGTGATAATCTTGGTTGACGTGTGGTATGAGAAGAGGTAAATACTAGAATGTTACAGATGAGTGTCCTCTGTGAGATCACTTCAATGTAGATTTTAACTGACCTATGAAAATTGTCTACAAACTTGGAGTTCTCTATTCTCAGATATGTCAACCAGGACTCTCGTGTTGTTTCGGTGTAGTTCAGTTTTTTTAGTCAAAATTAGGTTTCTCGTTTGTTTGAAGGTGATTGACAATGTTTCGTGATGAATTTCACTAGTTCGGACTTCCATTGTCTATTATATAAAATGATTTGAAATCCCTGAAACAAGTAAAAAAGAATAATTAAAAAAGAATAGTTGAAAATAACAATTATATTAAGCAACAATAAACCTGAAATGA